GATTTTTGAAAATAAATAAATACCTTATATTCATCTTTCTTAATTTTAAGCCCAAAAATGAGTTAGAACAAATTACTCAAATGGCAGCATCCTTTTACCAAATGGCTAATCTTCAGATTAATCCTACCAAGTCAATATTTGCCACAAATGCCAAACCTACTTCTATTATCTTTCTTAACTTTACTCTCAACTCTATTTCTAATAATCAACTTTTTAAATACTTAGATTGTTGGTTTACACTTAACAACAACAAACCCATATAATCAAATTAATTCAAGATGAAGCTTTTTAACTAATTAATATTGCAAACACAAAAAATATTACAGACAAACAAATTACTTACATTTTTAATACAGTTATTATTCCAATATTAGAATACAAAATATATAATATTATTCTTCTCAAAACTATATATAATTGCATATTGGCTAAATATCTTACAGTTGCTAAATACAAATCTCACCTTGCCTAATTAATTTTTAATAGTACAATGCTTTATCTTTATTTATACAACATATATAATATTTTTAGATATACAATTACAACACCATATTATTACTTTTCTTTAATAAAATAATGATTACTATTTATTAAATGTTTCTACATATATTAGATTACAAGAACTTCAAAACAATCTTTGGTCTACTATAAACATTCTTGAATATCCTCAATTTAATATTGATGATTAAGATAAATATAGTCTCAATTTTAAAATTATCTAACTATTTTCACAAATTGCTGTTTCTATTAAAGCTAATAATAATACATCATGACCAAACACCATCAATTATCAGCTTTAATCTTTTGAACTTATTTTTCATCACTACTCTAAATATACAATCTTTAAAAAATGATTTAGATGACCAAATCTACTTTATCTTGAACAACTTTGCACCTCAGACAATACTACACTTCTTGAATAACTACATCTATTACCAAAAATTCTTCATTAGTCTAAAAGCAGAAAACTGATCTGGTTTACTAAACTTGAAAATTTTATTATAAAAAATTATTATTATTGTTCTCTCAAACTTTAATACAAACAACAAAAAACTAATCTCTTTGCATATAATATATACAATATTTTCAAAAAACATAAACTATAGCTTATTACTTTCAATAATAAGAAAATTATCATAAACAAAATCATAAACATCTTACAAATTCTAATCAAATATCAATTACATACTGGCAAACAGATATTAATATAAATAATACTAATTACTATCTACTTCAACAGATTAATCTTGTTCCTTGTTCAGGCTGTTAACTTAATTTACAATAAATAACTATATTACATACTATTAATACTTTACTTATTACATTTGCTCAATTTTTTGATAAAATTATTTCAAGCTCAGTTAAAATAAATGCAAACTATCTAGACCTTTTTAGCTCTACTACAATTAAATAGCCTTTGCCAAATTCTTTAACACTATCATTGCCTTCTATTTCTATCTCTAATTCCATTATATCCGCAATTTTTGAAGCAAGTGAAGCAACTAACAAACTTAATCAAATATTTTCTAATAACTTATTACATAACTTATTTAACTTTTATACTGATAGTTCAGTAATTGGTATAAGTATAAATAACTGTAATATGAGTATTAGCTGGGTTCAAGTAAATCTTAATGACCAAGTTATTTACAAATTCACTGCCAAATTTCACCTCTAACCATCATCTTACAAGGCTGAACTCTTTTCTATTCTGTTTGCTATTTCAACTACCTTCTGAAATTTTATAATTAATATTTATACAGATTCTCAATTTATAATATCAAAATTTATTTAACTTAATCAATCACTTCTAAATCCTAATAAACTTTTTAAATTTAACTTCTGGCCATTATGGCATATCTTACTAAATATTATTAAATTATACAAATTAAATATTATCTTTTATAAAGTTCAAGCTCACTCAGACAACACTCTTAACAATCTAGCAGACTCACTTACTAAACAACATACAAATGAACCTCCATTACACTTCAACTATATGAATATTTACAATTCATATCATTTCTTATTCTTTGAAACAGAAACATTTTCTGTTAAACTTCTCACCAGATACTTTGTTAAAAGTATCTGTAAAGCTTACAATCTTGTGCTATAGTTATCACAAAAATGAAATAACAAATAGACTCCATTAGCCCATCATATTGACTGAAATTCAACCTGACTATACTTTAATCATAATCAAAAATTTATTCACAATCTTACTAATTTTAAACTTAACCAATTCAAAACATTTAAAATTAAAATACTTTTTAATAAACTATTTACTCAATACTTCTATTATAAAATCTATCTCCTAACCTTTTATGATGTCAATTACTTTTACTGCAATTTAATTATGTTATCATTATATTGATACACTTGTATTAACTTCTTTTTGCTTGATAGCATTATTTCTAATACAATAACTAATTGTGTAAATTCAGTCAATTTAGACTTTTCTAACAACAGAACTAAAAAACTTATTTAAAAAATTAAAGACCATTCAGGTTTTAAAGAAACACCTCTTTTTTTATTCTTATACTATCTAGAAATTACTCTTAAAGAACTTATTCCTTTATCTCTAATTAAAACTATTCAAGATCTAGAAGTTCTATACAAACTAGCATCAACAATTATGATTAATATTCTGCTTAAAATCAACAAACAAATCTACAAACAATTATTGAAACCCTACTGTATTAATTTTTCAAATTGGAAAAAACAATAACAAATAACATATATACATACTAAGCAACAAACTTTATTTTCTTATAATAGAAATAATATATATATTCATCATAATTTTACATATTCTTGTTTTTGTGATCAATCTGACCAACTCTATTCACATACTGGAACCTGTCCACTTGTTGGATAGGCCTTTAGAAAAATTAGTACTTGGGCCACTTTGTGGATCAAGTATCATATAACTTCTAATTTTATTTTAACTATAAATAATATTATTTAAATAAGTTTTTAACCACTCTAGTAGGTTTAAGTTACAGATAAATTAGATTTATTTAATTGTTTAAGCTTTTATCCTTGCATGTAATTTTTCTTTTATTTGTATTAGTACAAATAGTAGAAATATATATACTGCACATATGTTACTATTTTATAAATTACTTAATAAAGATATGAGCAAGACTTCACCTTAAAAAAAAAAATAAAAAAAAAAAGAACTTGCATGTATGTTCAAAATAATAAAAATGCTAAAGTTACAAATAAAAAAATGCTAAAGTAATAGATAAAAGAAGAATAATAGTATAAAGCTTGCAATTGTTAGTAATAGTTCAGTATTAAATAGTTTAAAAAACATTTAAATGTTCTTACTTTAGCAAGAAAGTTCAGATAAACAACTAAAATTAATTAATTTTCTTAAAAAATTTATTAGAATAAAAATAATAAGTTTAACTTAATAAATTTGTATAAACAAAATATTTTAAATCAAAAAATTTATTTTATATAATGTTTTAATAAAATCATTGGATTTTTTTAATATAATTATGTTCAAAACTCTTAATTATAATTTATAAAAACATTTCAACTTAAAATTAAAAATATACCATATAGTGTAAACTATAATACCTTAGACATAATACATTCTATAGGCAAAATTTGACTCTGTACTTGAGTACTATACATAGAAAAAATTTATATAGTCACAATAAATGCTACATAATAGATAGGAAAGTATTTATTATATTTTGATTTTGGAAAGTACCTGAATATCTTGTTTTCTACTGCAAAAAAATTCCATAGAAGGTACTTTATAGTGGAAGGTACTGTGATCCACATTGTATAGTAATTGAAGAATTTGTTTGTATTATTAAGACTTTATATAAAAATTGATAATAGTGATAATTATATAAGAACATGTGATATTAATACATTAATTCAACTGTATAATTTCATTTTATGCACACAAAATGATATAGGTTAGATACTATACCAGTGAATAGACAAGGCACAAGTGCATTGTTTTTTTTAATTGAAAATTTTATGAAACCATTATTTCATTTGAATTTTCCTTAATTCAATTGGGGTTGTGTAAATGTCAGGTATGTTACTATTAAATATAGTACCCGGTTTTACCCTATGTTTTAATAGTACTCGTGCCGGCATTTGTAAAACTAATAGCAATTTTCAAATTAGAGTTTTTTTTTTTATATTATTATAAAATTTTTAATACTGTACAATGGCAAATACTTACTATATAGAAATATATTACTTAGGCTACTTTTCCCTGGATGAGAACGACTGCACGATCTGGTCTTATGTGATATTGCTTTATATATCTTAAAATAGTGTAACATAAGTCCTCTAAGTGCATGCTTATGCCCGGTCCCGAAGGTGTGCACTTAGGGAGGTCTGACTGTATATGAAAACATGGCCCAAAAAACGATATTGGCAGATATGTACTACTTTTAATATAATATATCCCCAAAATATAGTATCTGGTTCTTTACACAGTACTCATAGGTACTATTTAATTTTAAACATAGAGTTATTGAATAAAATTCGGGTAATATAAACAATTCGTTTGACAAATCCCATATTGGTAGGTGCGTTTGAGTAAAATGAAATCAACAAATTAAAATTTATATTTCTAGTAGTCATTTTACGTAGGTAAAAAAAAGTTTATAATGTTCATTTATTTTAGATCTAGGATGTTAAAAAGACATCCCGTAAATAAATTGATGAATATTTTACAGTGAATATAAAATGCGACCACTAAGAATGGTTCAACTTAATTTTAAGGTGAAAAGGTGTTAAAAACGGAGTTTATGTATGAAACTTACACGTCCATAATGTGAAGACGGCTTAATTAGTAAAAAAAATTGATTACCCAATATTATGGAGGATAAATGTATTTTTCTTGTACAAAGATATTCTTTTAGTTAAATAGTTTTAATTGATTATGACGATAATTCTATGATTGTTCAAAAAAGAAATAATTCATTACTAATAATGTTCATATACAGGGTTTTAAACAGGTATTATTGTTCGTCCACTAGGATTTCAATCCGATCCATTTCTCCTTCATTACTATTATAGCTAGACAGTCTAGTAATATTTTGCAATCCACCCTGATCGACCTTAATAATCCGTGGAGGCCTTAAATTATCAAGAGGAATCGGATGATTAGAATTAGTATCCTGGATGAAAATTCCTCTTTGCCTATTATCGACAACTAGATTTACGGAGCCACTAGAATGCCTATCTGAAGATATACTCGTTACGATAACTTCAGGAGAGCTGTTATTTCTGCGATAATGAGGGCGTTTCTCATTAGGCGGTGACATAATGGATGAATGCGTAGTAGTTATACTACTGGTGTCAGTAATAGGTATGAATGTTGGGCGAACTTCTATAGGCACACTGATATCAATTTTATCAATAGAATGCTTTCTATGTTTTGAACTTTTAGCATCCTCAGTGGAAAAAGTTCTTGCAATTTTTTTTTTTAGAGTACCAATTGAAAATATCTTTGGAGTCTTTGGCTTTATCTCTGATTGGTTATCTGTGTCAATATTTTTGCTTCCACTGTGGATAAAATTTTTATGAAATGTGGCATATGAGTCCCCAAAACTTGAAATAGTTTTTGATTTCTTGAAATGTGGAAACTTTAGTGGTTTTTTATCATTTCCAACGTTGGAATCATTAGTATCCGCTGTTAGAGAATCACTATTATTATTATGATTAAAGCTTTTTACTTTTCTAATAAAAATATCAAAATTTTTTGTAATGCGTTTCTGTTTTTCTAATTGTTGTTCTAATTCCAATATTCTTTCACAAGCTTGTTGATGTTTTTGTTTAAAAGTTTTATATCTAATGTAATAGTCTGGAGGGCTTATTTGAGCCAAGCGTTCTTGAATTTCTGCTATAGCTTCAAGTATTGTATCATTTTGATCTTGAAGGAGTTTTGACCTCGCTACACTTGGAAGTTTGGCAAATGACTTGTCATGTGATTTGTGTAACATGTGTCGAAATTTCGACCGCCGCCGTACGGCCCATTCAGCCATAAAGTTAGAGCCAATTATGGTTGTTGGTAAGGCGATAGCCAAAACACCGAGAGACATGGTTAAACCAGCGATGAATTTTCCTATACCAGTAACTGGAACAACATCACCATAACCGGTTGTAGTTATTGTGACTATTGACCACCAAAAACAATGGACAATTGACTGAAAAGGACTACGTTCTAGTTGTCCTCTTTCATTATAACGATACCAAGTCAAATTATCAGAATTATATTCACCACGTTCAGCATAATAAATAAATACTGATGATACAATTATAATGATTAACACGTATATAGAACCAATAAATAATTGATAAGCAGATCGAATAAACACTTGAGAAGAAAACTAGAAATTAATAATAATAATAGAATGATAGAAATTAATAATCATGATGATATAATAAAATAAGAAATAAAACATAATATATATATATATTTACATTAAAACCGAAACCACTTCCATGCTTGGAAATGTGTAATAACTTTATAATTCTAAACAACCGAAGTATTCCGATAAAACGTAAAGCGGGACCCAAGGGACTTGATGGATTCTGTAATTTATCAATTAAATATGAGCAATATCACACAGATGGAATTGAATGAAGTTAATAAATACTTACGTGACTGGTTGTAATACTTAATTGTACGTAAATCGCTATGATTGATATTAGGTCAATGACGTTCGAGGGCTCTGAAAAGTAAAACCATAGTTAAATTTGAACTTGCAACTGATTATTAAATAGAAAGAGAATACGTACGATAAAGGTATTTTAATTTATTCGAAGAAGAATAAAATCGAAGAATATATTCAATGGTAAAGAAAGATACAAATACAATATCCATACGATACCTAGATTACCAAAGAAATCAATTACCGAGCAACGGATTATAGGATTACGAAATTGATTTAAAGAACATACCAAATTCGATCATAGAATTCATGACCCATAATACTAGGGATTGAATCAACACAAAGAATAGAAATAGAAGTTAAATTAACGGTCAAAGAAAGCCAAGAATACGCCCTAGCCCACTTTGAAGTCGGAGCTTCAAGGAAATAATGAATTTTGTTTTGTAGAGGCGTTCTTTTTGCATCTTCTTGGCGTTTTAGAGCTTCCAATGGACCCTAAACAAACAATATAATTAATAATAAACGTGTATCGTATACAGGAATTATTTGGTATAAACACCTCGTCCTCTTCGGTATTATTGTCATCTTCTATCGAGTCATATCCAATATCATATGGTGGGACCGAGCCTGACGTATAATCATCGTTGGATTTACTACAAAGAAAGACAAACATCGTAAATAACAAACCATTAAATTATGAAGGCAAAAACAATTGATTACCCCGAGTGATGTATCAAATAAGGGCTGCTGTCTTCTATTGCAGTGAGAATAGGTTCATGAGCAGGTTCACCGTGTTCGCTAGGAATAACGCCTATTCCACGTGATAGATCATGTTGGAATTTTAGTTGAGGTTTTTCGTTTTCAATAAAATAAAGATTATTTTTAGGGTTAGTAATATTGGATACATTATTATTATTTTGTGAAGGTTGCATAGCTGAAAGAGCACGAAGGTCAAAAAAGAAAAAAAAAAGGGATAGATAAATAAGGTTATATATGTTATCTGCACCAGTTATGCCAGTTCCCGTGATTTCCCAAATATGGAAACTTAATCAAGATACCATTAAAAATTCAATACATGATAAGAAACTTTATTCGGCTTTTGCCTTGCACTTTGCCAACGTATAAAGTTTAACTTGTTTGCACCACATTTCATTCGGTTTTCGGTTCGCGTATTTAAACGGTAATAGCATAATGATGACTGTTTTACGCATTAATACGTTGATCAATTTGTTTGCGCAGGTAGAAGATAATTGTACTTACGTAAATTGGAATAGTATCGGTCACAGGGCAAAGTTTTTTTTCGGAAAAAGAAATGATATTCGAACTACGCTTAATATAAAGCTGCGCCCAATCTCTGCTAAATAATCATGTGATGTTTATGTACACGTGAAATTTATGTAGGTTTACTATTATGGTAAAGATAAAATATAATATTTACCTCAATCGTAATGGCTCAAAACAGATAGATCTTTCTGTTACACTATATATATATGTGTGACAATTGTATGAACACAATCGAAAATTGTCAATGCAATTATTTCATCATCGATCAAATTAATAGATGTACCTAAATTTTATATATAAATTTTATGTATAAAAATTTTTTTATTTTTTAAATTTTCTTCGAAGTTTAATATAAAAGTTAAGTTAAAAACTTCAGATACTTATTCTTGAGCATCTGAAGATTCATTGTACGAAATTTAACTAATAGTAAAATGGATCTTAGTCAAAAGACTGACACGCCGTCTATAATTATAATAATATATATTCCTTAAATTAAAAGACCGACGAAATATTTACAATATTTTATAGTGGGTCTTAGGATCAAGATTATTTTTCAACTTTATTATTACCTGTTACTCAACTTTGTATAAAGAACTCAAGAATAAGTAACTAATATTTTAAATTTTTGATTTTTATTTTAATTTCGATTAAAGTAAAAATAAAAGTTTTTTTTTTATAAATTTATAAAATTTAACGTCTGCGACATGTCCGCTGACTGATAAGCAATCTCTTGTGTTACCTATTTAAGTTCTATTCTGCAGGTGTATATCGATATTAAGTTTCTCTTTCAGATTTACGATTTACAAAGAACACTTCTATCCGTCTAAGGCTAATTAAGTTATGGTCTATCGTCGGCAAACTGTGGTCTTAATATTTTGGTTGGGGTTTTTGGTTGTGCTTAATGTTTTATCGGTGTCATCTATTCGGGTTAATTTTGATAGCAAACAGATACATTTTTCAACGGCCTCCCAACAATCAGTTTATCATGATAGGAAAAGTTTAGAAGAATTAGACAATGAATTTTCTGAAGAGATTTTGCCTATTGTTAAATTGTTCACTGATCATGGCGATTTACTACAGGTTTGTCTATGCAAGACCTTGCTCTTTACGCCCGCTTTTATCCAATTTCGCTAATCGCTAAACCTTGTACAAATCACGTGCCTTACCAGACCACTGGCATTCGGTGTGAAGTGTGTCATGCTATTGCACGTCATATTAAAGAGTTCTTGATGCTAAATGCTACTCAAGAGATTATCATTCAAGAAGGCATTCTCATTTGTTCATTGTTGAGACTTCAAACCCAACGTGTGGTAAACACATACTTCTATTATTGAGTTTATTGTGTATTGGTTTAAGATTGTACATTTTTATCCCGTAAATATTTTATCAGTGTTCTGAGATTATACCCAAATTTGGTCCTTGGGTCATAACAGTCCTTGCTCATTCTGTATTCTCTGCGGAAAACTTATGTACGAAAGCTCATTTATGCCCAAAACCTGATACACCAGAAAAACCAGAGATCATTGATTTACCAGCACCAACTACTGAGAATCTCTCAGTTTCAGAAAATCAAAATGGCGGTGATGATCAAAGAATTTGGGTTGTTCATTTGAGTGATTGGCATTATGATTCAGAATATGGTGAAGGTTATGAAGTGAATTGTGGAGAACCAGTTTGTTGCCGTGAACCAAATGTAAAAAAGCTATACCTATGTTTCTTTTTTACCCAATTATACGACCAATATTCCAATAATCTTAATAATTAAACTATATTTAGGCTTTTGGTGATAAAGCCACCACCCCTGCTGGTAAATGGGGTGACTATAATTGCGGTATGCTTTTGTTTAAATAACTTTTTATATTTTATATGTTATGTGTTTTCATTCACACCATTTATTCTTTTAGACGCTCCCAAGAGGTTAATTGAAAGCATGTTAGAATTTTTACCAACTGCTGTGCCAAAAGTGGATTTCGTTATATCTACTGGGTATTACCATCATTGATTATTTTAACCTGTTACTTTACTTGTTGTAAATAATGTAATATTCATATACTTACCTCTCATTATCTAATGGTAAATGTGGATTCAGTGACCTTCCTCCACATGGTAATATATAAAAATATTTTATATTCAAGTATAATATAGCTAATCCCATTAATAAAGCTAATCAATTATTTTATAGTAGGGGTTATCTATATTGTACTTGATCTATATTTTAATTTCAAGGGATCTAAATTTTAATTTCAAAGGATCTTTATTTTTATCATATTATATATGTATTTCAGATGTCTGGGCAGAAACTCCATCAACCATAACGGATAATAACAATAAAACTGCAAACATTTGGCGTAAATTTTTCACTTCTGCTCCATTTTTCCCTGTTATTGGAAATCATGAATCTGCACCAGTCAACTCTTTTCCAACATCTTCTATAAGCGATATAGCATCTGTATCTTGGTTGTATAGCACATTGTCATCACAATGGAATAATTGGCTTTCTGCCGATGTTCTTGAGTCAATCGAAAAAAATGGGTTTTATTCTGCAAAATTACCTAAATATAAATTACGAGTTTTAGGTATTAATACAAACTATTTCTATAAATTAAACCTTTGGCTTCTTATAAGACCAAGGGAAGAATGGGATCCTGAATGGATGTTAAAATGGATTATTGATCAACTAGATGAAGCAGAAAAACTTGGTGAAAAAGTCTGGATATTGGGTGTATGTAAACTTCTTTTTTTTTAAAATATATATATATATATATATATATATATATATTCTAAAGTGTTTAATTTTTTTTTATTTATAAATTAGCACATGTCTGCTTTAGACCAAGATTCTTTTCCATCTATGGGAGTTTATTTTTCTCAAATTGTTGCTAGGTACAAAGATACAATTGTCGGTCAATTTTATGGTAACTATTAAAGTTGTAAAAATATTTAAATTTTTAATACTCGCAAGATTCAAATATTCCCGTGTATTAATATTATTCAATTGACTCTATAGGTCACTCTCATTGGGACGAATTCAATGTTATTTACGATAAATCAATCAATGATCCTTCAAAGGATCCGGAAGCCGTTGGTATCGCATACATAGCTCCAAGCGTTACATCTTTTAAAAACATGAATCCTGCCTTCAGGTGAAAACTTTTATCACTCTATAAATAATATATCTATCTATTTGACCAATATGACATCATTTAATAATTTATGTTGTTTATAGAGTGTATGAAATTGATAAAGTGACAAAAAAAATTCTTAACCACTATACTTATTCCATGGATCTTCAAGAAGCGAATCGTCTTGATAAGCCAGAATGGAAATTGTTGTATGATGCAAAATCATTATACGGACTTGAAAATTTGGATCCAAAGAGTTGGCATGGTATATATATTAATTGTTATATTTATTAGAATATTTTGTTGTTTCTAACATCAGTTTTGTATTTCTTTGAATCATAGATCTCACAGAAAAATTCATTACTGATACAAATGCTTATAAAATTTTCAAAAAAACGGCTTCTCGAAATCATCACCTTGACAAATATGGTTCATGTTCGGCTCTTGATACGCAATGTCGCAATCGTATTATATGTAAACTTCGTGGCACTAACTCTGGTCATGGCCCATATTCTGATAATGAACTTTGTAAAAAACATGGATGGTTTCCTCATTTACCTGATGATTGGTTTTTGAATGCTGCATTGGGAAAACATGTGAATGTTTTTGTTGACCTGGATAAAACTGATAAAGATAATAAGTTTAAATCAATGGGTGATAATGATAAAGATAATGATGGTGATGGTATAACCTTTAAAGGACTTTCAAAAACTGTTGTTAGGTTGATCATGAGATTTGTTATGGGAAATGACGATGCAGTGTGTCGTTAAATTCTATTATTGTTCACATTTTGTACTATTTTATGTTTTTTGTTCATGAAGAAAATATTTGTAATTATATTATGGTTGTTAAAAAAATGCCCATAAATAAGTGAGATATCTTGTCTTTATTCGTAAATTACAATTAATTTACGTGATGAAATTTAAAAGAAAAAATATATATTATATTGCATTGATATAACTAGTTAAAAGGATATCCTCGAAACATTTGACAGAAAAAGATTTTTTATTCTTCATTAGTAATTAAAGACTATCATTTTCTCATTCATCCGAATCAGATTCTTCTGGTTTTGTGTAATAGGAAGGATATACATATATAGTATTGTCCCAATACCAAAAACCATTCGACAATTGATGAAAGTCTGCGTGAATAGACATCCCGACCATTGGATAGGGTGCAAGATCTGGTCCAACAGTGATGGTGAATGGTTCTGCATCAGGAGATTCAAATTCACGAACTTCAAATTCACGAATAAAATAAGAACGTAACCAATCATCTTCATTTTCAGATGTTGTATCATCCTCTGTAGTATCATTCGTTGTTGTCGACTCTGGTAGTTCATTAACTTTGATAATTTCGACAGTTAACCTTAATTTTCTGGCTTGCTTCACCTCTGTTAACCCATTTAGAGCATTATCTCCAAAAATTTTTTTCACAATTTGTTCAGCTTCTTCTGGATGAATTCCAAATAATAAAGCCATGCTTTCTTCGTTGGGGTAAGGGTTATCAAACCTTCCATAAAGCTCACCACCAAATAATAATGAACATGCTTTATTGAACTTTCCAGGTGCATCCTGTGTCAACAACTTACAATTTAAAAGCTCATCTTTGGCTAATTGAGCAACTTTTATTGCTTGTTGTATATCCTCCAAATACTCGGGACATACTTGTCTCCTGACCAAATAATTCAAGAATGATTCGATAACTATTGGTGCTTCTCGAAATGCGTCTTCTTTCACATATCCAGTTTCATTCATAATGTAGCTTGACAGATAGACTTTGACGTTATATGTAAAATCTACCTCCATGTCGTCAGGTATCATTGGATCATTTTCCGAAGCGCATAGTGTTGTATCTTCAGCAATGCCACCAAAATGGAAATAAGAACTTAAAATCTGGTTAGATGTACTATCAAACATTCTTGTGGCTTTGTATTTTTGTACAGCACGTTCAACACGATATTTAATTGGCGTAGAACTAAAAGTATACGATAATTGTTTAAAATTATTTAAAGTATTTATTAGAGAATAAATTCTTTAACATACGGTTCATAAACTTCGTCATCATCTGATTCATTTAAAAGTTTCTTCTTTTTTTTCTTTTTTTTTTTCTTTGCAGGTGGCACGACAGTAACGGACCCTGCTCCTTCAGCCGTATTAGTTTGGTCCTCAACAACCTCTTCTTCAGTATCCTCAGTTATGCTTTTATTATTATTTTCACTAACTATTTTAGCATCCTTGTTAGTATCATTTACTTCTTCAACTTTATTATCACTATTATCATTATGTAGTATTTCTTCAGCTTTATTGTCGTTATTATCGTTATTATCGTTATGTGGTATTTCTTGAGTTTCCATAGTTATCGACTAAAGGTGAATAAGTTCCTTAATTGTTTATAACTCATTGTGATTCAAGCACATGACTTGTTCAATTTAAGCGGCAAACTGCGGCTCACGGTTCTCATTGTGCGCAAAATTTAGGACTTGAATATATCAACTACCCCAGTGGCACCGACAGATTTTCACTGATCGACAGCGATTGACCAATTATATTACAAGATCAGGTTAAGATCAGGTGTAACGTGAAATCAAAACAAAAACTATCATTTTCTAAACAAAACCGCTGTAACTCAAAATTTCGTCTATGTAATCATCTTCTGCGCATTAGTAAAAAAAATTCCTTGCAAAAATTTAGTGTAAAAAAGTATAGTTATAATTATAAATATTATCCTAATGTACCGTTTTATGACTTTAAAAAAAATGGCAATTAGTAAAAGTTTGTTCAAACTGCAGATCGCTTCCAAAATTATCCAGCCAATCAAGATTTAATATCACATGCCAATTAGCCAATCACAGTTGATAAAAAAATTTTTTGTACATTTTTTATACTTTTTAAAAGATTTGAATATCTTATTTACTAAGTCATTTAAATTTTATTTATTAAATAAAAAAAAGAAAAAAAACTAAAAATAATGGTTTATAATGACAACTTGAAAGAAAAATATTATTTTATATAATTGTTGTTACATAAACCTTATAGAAAATTTAGAATTTCACAATTTGATTTGATTAAATATTTAAATTCAAATCAAATTTAAATTTGAAATTTTTAAATCAAATTAAATTTAAATATAATCAAATTTGATTTAATTTGATTTGATTTGATTTAAAAATTTTTAATTAAATGTTTAATATTATGGGTTATTTATTTAAAATTTTATTAAAAAATCAAATTTTTTTTATTTTATAAAACTAAAGATATTTTGTTTAAAAAAACATTTTTATTTAAGAATTTAAAATTAATTAACATAATAAAATATTTTATAAATCAAGTTATTTCTTTATTGATTAAAATTTTAAATTTTTTTAAAAATTAAATCAAATTTAAATATTTGATTCAAATATTTAATTAAATTAAATCAAATTAAGAGTATATTTGATTTAATTAAATTTAAATTGATTTAATATTTAATTTAATTTGGTTTTGAGAAATCTTAAAAAAACCTTTTAGAAAATAGTAATCCTAGTATAGTAGTTAGATTATCATTCTCTAAGTAGTAGGTCTAAGATTCAAATTTTACTTACAATAAAATTTGAAAATTATATTTGCATTATGTTAACTGTCTCCTGTTGATCAGTTGGTCTTATATAGCTGTAACTCAGATACATCAAGTCAAATCCTACTGATATTAGGAGCTTGAGGTATCTATATAAAGTATAACATTATATATATATAGAGAAATATATAACTGTTGTTGCATAAGACTTTAGTGCAAACCTACAATAAGACTATCAGATATAGAAGACTAAGGAACTGAAGTGACAGAAACTCACTTAGAAATTCCTAAGTAAAGAAATAACATGAACTTTTGATAGTACTATTAGATTAGTTGAAGCTCATAAAACATTTTTATAGAAACTGAAAATTAAAACCAGACATTAAATATATGTAAAGAAGCATATAACCAATCAGGCTATTGGATTTGTCAGAGGAAAAGAATACAGAAATATACTATATTGGGTTATTTGGATTGGTAGTCTAAAATAAGACTAATGATTTTAAGTTGTAGTTAGTAGAAGATAATGAAGAAGATACTAAAAAAATAGGTACTAAGGTTCTAGTGAACTTTACAAGAGTAAAAATAGTATAATATAGTGGTTAAACAGATAACCTCTGTGACTGCAAGTATTAGGTAACTATAGTGTGTTGCATAAAACTAGGTTTATATATATAGAATATAAAGGCTTTAGTAGTTTTTTGTTAAGGATAAACTAGTTTTAAGAGTAATGACTAGTATTGGAAACTTAAATGGGTATAGTCTTGAGATGTTTTTGTGATACAAAGAGGATTGCATATGCAGAAGGTTTAAATAGACAAGACTCCTAATTGGCTTGCAGATATGGTAACTAGTGTAGAACTTATATAGCAATATAAGTAAACTACTTAAATTAGGCACTAAAATACATGTGTGACTAGTTGTAACTTTCAATGTAAGGTAAGCCTCTGGTGTCATGTCATGTCCTAATATACTTAAATAAAAAACATTATATCTTCAAGATAGAAACTAAAAAAAAAAAAAAAAAAAAAAAAAAACCTTTTAAACAGAGGTTTTAAAAAAATAAAAATTATAGAAAACTTAGATAAAAAAGTTATAATTAAGAAAAAAATAAATGATATAAGAATAAATAATATAAAAATTAAATTTATTAAAGTTATTAAATAATGAAAAAAGTTTTTTATAATAAAAAATATATAATAAAAGAAAGTTTTATTTATTTATTTGATAAAATACAAAGTTATTTAAAACAACTAATTTGATTTTGTTAAATTTTTTTAATTATTTTATTCTGTAAATTATTTACAAGAACACAATAAGCAAACAATAGATTGTATAAAAAAAATTAATAGTATTAATATATTATTTTTTTACTTTATTAAATAATATAACAATTAATATCTTTAAGTTTAATTTTGTCTCTTATTTAGATTTAATAAATATAACAAATAAGAGTTTAAATATATTACTAAATTTTGATATATTTATAATAATAAAAATAGTAAAGTATATAAAAAACAAACATCAAATATATATAAATAATATATAGACAATATTCTTATAAAATTTTTTTTTTTTTGTTAAGATGAGGTCATGCCCTTAAGTCTTTATTAGTATATTGGTTATAGCTAGTACAATTTTTATCATACATCATCTATCACTATATAT